CTCGAATCACGATGTCTCTCAGCCTATGAAACCATACTTTTGAAGGTGTCTCGCTTTCACCACAATCTATAGCATCTCCTTGACTGCCGATGGAAGTTTCAGAAGAATCCATTCATGCTCTTCACAGATATGGTTCGAGAAATGCATACATGCAACGGCAATTTTTTTTGCACTCCATGGTATCATTTTGCATTTTATGCATATCATACAAATTATAATGGTCAATATTCAGGTTCAGCATTAACAACAAGTTGTTGTTTTATATTTCATTCAATGTTCTATTTTTTTCATCATTTTGAATTATCTGTTATTGAAGTACAATTTGTTCATGTACTTGTTGATCAAAATCTTATAACACAACCATCTTCACCAACAACTGAAAGAGAAAATGAAGAAGAAACTTTACCACCACTAACAACATCTTCTTGAAATATTTGTTTATTCTTGATTATATATGTGTACATCATTGAGTTTTTCCTTCTTTTTTTTATTTCTTCATTCTATAAATGTATGTGTGCGTGTATCTAAGTGAGCTTTTTATTTTTGTCTCTTGTTGATATAATGTGTAGTAGTCTGAGTATGTTTTCCTTTTCTTTAAAATAGTATGCAAGAACGGTTGTATTGATATAAATATAATCTTATACACGTTCGAAATTTAGATTTATTTTAAGAAGAAGATAAAAAAAACAAGAATATTAATCATGAATATTTCTCTCTACATATAAAACACATAGAAAAATAGATATGGGATCAAAGTTACATTTAATAAAAAAATATACACATATAGAAAATATTGTAATTATTTTTCTATTATTATTTTTACATGAAATTATATTGGATAGTAAGACTTGAAGAAGATAAATTCTCATTAATTAGAGAATCTGGACTATCAAAAGTTGATTATAAAATTATCAATTTTTCAATGATGATGGAAAATATAATTAATTTAGTTCTGATAATCAATGAAGAAAACTACTTAAGAACAGTAAAATAACTGCAAAATATCTATACAGAAACAAAACATTTCGTACCCAATATGCAAGTATGATATTTTGATTAAAAAAAAACATCAAAATCATAAATTATGCTCTGAATTATATAATTGATTTTTATATAATCGATGATTATTGCAAGATCGTATTCTATTATTTTCATCACATTTTCATTTCACAAACACCACTAATCGATGTTCTTGAATTCATTCTTTCCAAATTCTTGTTTTTCTTGAACGTCAGTTACGATTGTTTTTACATATCCTTCAGCGAAAGATCCTTGCCTGAAAAAAAAACCAGATTTTAACTTTCTGGTAAGGTTCATGTAGACTGAATCTTGCCTAACGAGTCAAGATTTATCTCACCAGGAAGATTCTTGTATTCTTGAATTCAGTCCGATTCTTGTTATTCTTGACTTTCCTGCCTGATCCTTTTCCTTTAAATTCTCTTAATTCTTGTTGACTAAGTTACCCACCACAACATGCTGAATAAAAAATTTCATCAATAAATAATCTAGTATAAACCCATCAAACAATACGGTAGAAACTTATCAAAATTGCAAAATGTCTATTTTTGTTTCCTAATGATGATGTTTAGATTGTACATCGAAAGTTCGAAATAAAAAATAAACCCCCTTGAGTTATTGATAAGATTCTAATGTATTTTATGGTAGTTTTATATTGATTATTTATTGATGATATTGTTTATTAAGCATGTTATGGTGGTCACACATAGACAACAAGAATTAAGCAAGAATTTCAAGAAAAAAAAAACCAGACTAGAATGTCAAGTAGAAAAGAATCAACAACCGTTCCTTCAATGAAATAGCTCTTTCGAAAAATCATCATTTAGAAATCTAATTATCATGAAAATATCTTTAACATATTTAGATCTGCATAAATATTAATTCGATAACATTTTATATATATTCTGACACTATGTTTTGGGAATTTTCTAGAAAAGTAACTATATTTCGACTCATCATTGTGTCAATGAATGCACAATTTATATGCAATACGTCTACAAATCTCATATTGACAGCAAATTCATATTCCACGAATGGAATGAAGCTTGTTCATTAAATTGGACACAATACCTATTTATTATGGTTTTAAAGAAATGAATAAATAAAGTACGAACGTGTATATACAGTGGTTTGCAAAAAGATTTGAAACAAATCCTTAGTCTGTATTAAAAACTAGCTTAACTGTTTTCAAAAAACTGTTTCTATATTAAATGCATATCAGTTTGCAGTCTCAGAATATCTAATCCAACATTCAACAAATTCTACTTTTAATTAAATAATCAAAAGATATCTGTCATTTTTGCTAGTATTCAAATTGATTATAACTTTTTTCAATATTATTCATTTTCAAAATGATTCAAATAGCATGAATTTAGGCTGATGGAAACAGTTTTTTATATTATTCATGTCATTTTTTAGCCAGTTCTTTCAATACGACTTCATTATTTCGTTCAATAATGTTAGATATTATGTTTGTTGTTGTAAGTGTAAATGTCCTTAGAATTCGATTCAACTATATGTTGACCTTTTGTTTAATTTTGTTAAGAAAATGTCCATTTAACAACACTAATACACATCTTTATATAACATCAGAGAGAAGAAAGAATGAGAGAAGGAAGGCAGCACGACAGAAATATTTCAAAAAGATGTCGTTCCTAACAAATAAATTGACCGAATATTCGACTATATTGAGCGCCAATCGCACATTTTGGACCATTAATTGCCCGATATTCTAGAAAATCTTGAGTTCTGAGCTTTTTAAATTAGTAACTAATTTGTAGACAGTGTTATCTTTCTGTATTAGTAGATGTTATTGGTACAACGAATTCCGATGTTCCAATAATGTAATACAGATTTATGATATGACTTTAGACTGTCCGTCTTTTCTATATTAGGTTATTATGACACAACGATAAAACAGAAATTAACCAAATATATGAATATTAATAAGTAGAATATCTACTTATTATAAATCTACAGTAATCGCACAAAAAAGGCTCGAGAAAAGCTAGAAAATATAAAATATTATTATTGTAATATTGTTCCAATTCTTTTTGCAAACCATTGTATATGAGCCAATCCATATAAGCCATGACCTGTTCCATAAAAATCTTGCTTAATTGATGTCGTCAGATTTTGCTTAATTTAAAATATGTTTTAGAAGTAAGAGTTTTATTAATTTTGGCGCAAGCCGTTTTAGAAAAATATTGAAACTTCGATTTTTTTATGAGCATTTGACGAAAAGTCCTAAAAGTGATCATATCATACCAAGGGATTCTGATGTGGTTATATTTCAAGAATTGATCTACCAATTGAGCTGAAATTCTGCACAGATATGTATCTCAATATGTTCTATTTAACATAAAATTTCTATCTCAAAATATTGAACTGGTGAGAGTTTATGAATCACTTAATATGCGCAAAAAAATAAGATATTTGGTAACTTTGGTGATTCATAACTTTTGATAGAAATGAGTTAGAGGTCTGAAATTTTTACTGTAAATATAGAACTCGAAGATCTATCTTCCTTAAAATTTTCAGCCATCTACATTGTTTAAATACTAGTCTTGTATAATCGATTAAATATTGTATGAAAAAATATATATAAAAGCTCATTTATTTTGATAGAATAATGGCCTGTATAACAAATAAATGAAGATATCAAAGAGATATTTTCATTCGATTTTTTTTGACAATCTAATTCATTAATTTTTTTGATTAAAATATTTGACAAATTCAAAGTTAGAATTAACAATATAAATGGTATTAAACATGCTTTCATCTTGAAAAATACATCGAATCTAAATAATAAAATCAAATGAGAACATCAAAACCATTCAGATATATTAATTCAACATAGCAAAATTTATTATTATTAATTTTGTGCAAATCTTAGTGCTACTATATTTGAAATGTAACCAATCGTTTTCAACACTATTGCTTTAAGTGGATTCTATAGTCTCAGGTAGAGAAGTTATAATAAATATTAATGATATATTAACAAACAAAATATGATAAATGTAAATAATTCTTTTAGTGAATTTATCATGCATAATATAAAAACAAAGTTTATATGAAGCTAATTAACCTAAGTTATAATCAGTATGATATGAAGAACCGTTTTTAAATTTCCTTTTCATGAATTAAAGTGTTCATTGGTGTTACTCTTTATCTATTTATCAAATATACAGAATTGGTTCAATATAAATAAATATAATACATGTTATTGGAGTTGTATAGATGAAAAATAAACTTTATATATCACAAATACTATAGAATTATAAGAGGCATTTGACATATTTGATTGTCTCTAAGGTAAATAATTAATCCTCGAACAAAATTGTAAATGAATAGTGAATTAAAGAATTAGATAAGGTTTATGGCATCAAATACACAGATGAATAGAACTAAGTTAAGACATACAATTGATGTTTTAACATATAGAACACCAATCACATTTCTTTAATTCACTCTTAATTCGTCTAGTCTGTCTGAAATATATAAGCACGAACTCGCTTATATTTTTCCTCATTTAGCGAACGAATAAAAACATTGAACAAATGTTACAGTGGCATCCGTCGAAAGTAAACAAGAGAGAAATGTTTTTTTTTTGAGCGCTTTATTTCTTATTATATATATGAACGCTTTTAAGGAGAGAGAAATGAACAATAAACGTCCGCAATGAAATATTCGATATAGATATAAAAAAGCGACGTCACATTATTTGACATCATTGTTCATTTAATAATAATGGTCGCGTTTTTCGATGATTTACCTGATCTAACAATGCTCGAAATATTGTCTTATCTATCTTGTGCAGATGCTTTATGGACATTCAGTACACTTAATAACCGTCTAACAATGTTATTACTTGAACGAGGCGTCAATCGTCATGTTAATTTGTCATCTACTCAATATTATCAATTTCAAAAACTTTTACCTTTACTTCGATTAAATGAAATAGATTCACTTATTATTGACTGTTATGCATCAGCTCTTCAACTGACAAAATGGCCCTATTTACCTCATTTAAAAAAATTACAAATAAAAGGTGTGTGCAATTACTTCGACATTTGTCATTTTGTAATGCAACATGCCAATACATTGACTCATCTTACAATTGAATCGAGCTGGTATCATCTTAGAGTAAATGCATTTAGAAGTTATTTTAAAAGTAATTAAAAACAAACTATAAGACGATCTATGAAATATATAATATTTAGAAATATAAATCTTTGTATATAATGAGATAGCTGATTGATTTTTAGCGTATGAAACAAACGATACTAGAAACAAACTTTACGACAACATATGTGAATAAAATTCTTTCGAACGGAAGAATTATTCGAAGTTGTTGCTATCAAACTTGATTTTCGATGGAAAAGCAAGTTTAATATGTTGAAGGACAGAGTTGTATTCTTCGTAGTTATGATCAACTTAAATATGCGTAATTGCGTATCAGCAAAGATGTAACTAATCCTGACCCTGTGGGTGCAATATTCATTTTCCTTTACAGTTTAGATGCTTCTCTACTTGTAAGTTTTGGAAGAACTAATGTCAAATAATCTAGGAAGACTGAGTCTCATACGCTGGTTTTTTGAGGACGAATTTGTATTGTCAAAATTTGTATAAGACATGGAAAAGGTTGAACTAGAATAGTGTATACATACTGAGTATCTTTTGTTTCATGTAGGCTGGTTTGACGAATCAAGATTATTCTGTCATATGGAGTTTGGAAACTTTTGAAGATTTCTTGAAGAAAATTCTTCAACGTTTACCTGCTCTTTGCTTGCTCAATTTCGGAACGGAATCCACTTTTTTTCTATCCGCTTGGGATCTCAAAATTATACGAACACCTTTGACATATCTTCGTATTACGTGTTCATCAATAATCACTATAATTTGTCTCATGTTAACGCAACCATTACGGCATACATTGCAGCAATTCCATGTAAAATTAAACGACATATTCAGCGATACACATATTGATATATCTCATACAAAACTTTTACCTCGAATGGAGGTTTTACACACATTTACTTTTGTCAAGTCATTCAAATGGCATTTCATGGAAGAATGGACATTACTAGATATGTTGACTTCGTCAAGAGTTATGCCTATTTTACGACGAATGACTTTTTCTATTGTTATTAATGCTGTTGATCTGAATCACATGAATCATTCAGCCATCTTCACTGACTACCGTCATGTTGATGTTCATTATGCATTTATTTTCGATGATAATCGATCACATAGTGAACTTAGCAAATTTGTACCATATGGTAGTCAATCTCATCCGCGAGAGATAGCTAGTGGAACATTTATTTCTGAATGTTGGCCTGATAGTCAACCATTCGAAACTCCTGGTGAAAAATATGTAAGTTATAATCCTTTGTATAACCTTCATTGTTCATTTCAACAATAAACTGTTTTTTGATTGAATATGATTGATTTCTTTTTAGGGAGAAAAACCGAAAAATCGACAACACCTCTTTTACACATTACCATGGACCTTTAATGAATTTCAATTATGTGTTCCAGATAGATGTATTAGTGAATTACAAGTATTTACATCATTTTCGTCGGGAAATAAAACTTTTTATTCTCGTCTTCATAAGCTGAATATGTCAGATAATATTTCAACATCTGCTAATCTTCTCTCTTATGTAATATCTTCAAATCAAATAGTCGAGCTTTGTCTATCCAGATGTGATAGGCAAGTTTCTTTCAATTTACCAATGGTTAGTCATCTTACTCTTATCGATAGTCTTGATGCATTGAATACTCATTCACTCTTGACAAATGTTCGATCTATTCAAATTGTTTTTCATCATGAATGTCTCAATTTTGCAATTGGTGATTGGACTTCTTTACGTATACTGGCAGATTTGCCGCTGTTAAACTCTTTACGTGTGGTTTTGTATAATATGCTCAGCCCACCAAATAATTCAAGCTGCATAATTATTGCAGAGACAGCTTTAAAGATAACTGATTTTGGCTTTTGCTTTCGACATTGTCGTTATCATTATGTTAAACATGATTATGATATTAATTTGATTTTTATGAAACATTGTTTATTCATTGAACGTCTACGAAATCTCATTGTTATTATGTCAGTGAATAAACAGCGATATATCGTCGTTGATGAAGATGGCTCTGGAATTTTCGTATGGTTTTGATTAACAAATAAAAAACAAAATTATTGGATTTAGTAATCACACTTATAATATCTTCAGTCCTATTCATATTCATAAATCGTCAACTTGTAAAAAACAGTTCATTGTCAAAAAATTTAATTCAATCTTTTTTTCCTAAGTATTTCTTTGAGATTTTGCAATGACAATAGAATTTGTAAAAGAACCGAAAGTGAAATGATAATAAAATAATATAGTGTAAAAAAGTTAAATTATAATCATTCTTTGCGATAATGCTAGGAAAAAGAGGATAAGCAAAATTCATCACCAAGAGAATTTAAAAGTTCTGTTATGAACTTATTCACATTACTACGAGTAATCAAAAGGTATTATTAGGAGATAATGGGATTCGGTGTATTAGAATTCAGATAATATTTGATCTGACTTAACAGTAAAATTATTTAGTGAATAAGTATCATGACAAATTGATTGAGATTTAAAAGAAAAAAGATATCGAAATAACTTTCGATACACATGATTTAAAAGAGTTAGCATTGGCGGTACACTTAATTCGTTTGATGCCTTAAAAGAGTTTATCAACGAATAGTTAGGGGAGATAACAATAACTTAGACTAGTTAAATTCATAAGCTACTTTATTTGATACTCAATCAGTAAATATTAAAGATAGTTTTCCAAAATCTGTATCACTACAATCACATAAACAAGGAAATAGTGAGTCTACTTATTCTCAAGCTAACACAATAATCGCAGAGTAGTTTATTGCCTTTTTCGATCAAGTTTTTCATTTTCTGATATAATATCAATCAACAGTAAAAATTGATCTTATGATGCAAGATCAAACTTCAATAGTGAATCTAATTGAAATATGTTAGAATAACAACATAAGGTAATGTTGATTATAAAGATGATATTTTTAAGGAAGTTTTGTTTAAACCCCCTCCTCTCAAAATCGATCTCAGGGCCAATTATACTACAATCGCATGAAATTTTCAGCCCTATACCATATAGTTTGAGGGTGAGATCTATCAAACAAAGGTTAAAAATAGTTCATTTTTGCTGCAAGAATTCTGTGAATATTTATTGAAAAATTTGTTTTTTCTTGGAAAGAGTATGCCAAGATGCAGAGCCTGTGCGGCTCCTTTTTTAAACTCTTACCTATCAATAGGAAAAAAGGATTGACAAGTTTATTCAATAGAAAAACTCAAAAAATGGTGCTCAAATTATAAAAATGCTTTTGAATATACTAATAGTAAGGTTCCATTCAAAAAACGAAGCTTCAAAGGATTTGCAGTTCTTGATGCTCTTTCAAACAAAAAGAAACATACTAGACTTATATAGTACTGTGATAGAATGCTAGTGTAACTACGGAAAGTCTTAGGCGTAAAAAAAGACATAGTGAAATTCAGTAAAATTCCTATGTCGCTAAGCAAAGTACAAGGAATGAAGCTGAAATAATTAGTAATACGAGGATAATGCATACTGAGTACGCCCTGAAATTTTCAGTCATACACGCTGTATTATGGCGAAACATGTTTTTAACAAGGTGACGAAGTGAAAAATTGGTTAGCGAGTTTGTTTTGAGGGCTTTTAATGGTCAAAATCCGTAAGAAAAATAAATAAACAAATAAATTCAAGTATATATAATTGGTTGTAGATTATATGTACTAGGTATGGGTATATGTTAATACTTGCCTTTTTCCATCTACACCCACACCCTTCAATGAAGAACATTTTTGTTAATTAATTTTTCAATTTCATTTTTGGTTGGCACAATACTTTTTGGAGCTAAGCAAAAATTTTAATCAATAGGGCAGTGCATGTGGAAAAATGAATAACAAATAAATAACTGTGAATCGATTTTTTTTTGTGAGGGTTGGTGTGGATGTAGGAGAAGTCAATCCCATACCCATGGGAACAATTTCGTTACTTTTAACTGTTGCGAAACGCGTTAATGCTGACCGATTTAACATGTTTCGCAGCTGCTAAATCGGTTAAAAATGCCGCGAGACTATATACTTTTCGTGTTCATTCGGGAATTGTGGCTCCGAAACGCGTTTTGAGTAAGTGGAAAAAAAAGGGTTGTATACGTTTCTCGCCATAGGAAATGCTGCGAAACGCGTTTCGCAGTAAATATATCCTATCTTTTTATTCCATGGATACCCACATCCCACCACACCTAAACTCACACCCACACTCACATGCACTCCTGAGTGTCGAGTAATACATTTTGATTTCAGATGTTGATGCAGAAGTAATAGAAATGTTATGGAATTTTATCTTATTGTGTCTGTTAAAATATTAACAAAATTCGAAAAAAATCTTTTGATGTAAACAAGACAATATTTGACAGCACAACTATGGTATTGATAGATGATTTATATTTCTGGGTAAATCTTTATATTATTATAACTTCAATAAAAAAAAGAGAATAGTGGCAATACCGATACGAAATAACAAAATAAAACAAAAATATATAAATTCTTCTGTGAGCGATATGTAGACAAACTATATAAAATACGTAAATCAAACAAAATGTAAAATACATGAAATAGAATAATTCTTTCGTTTTCAGGCGCTTTCCATTCATAGATTCAGCCGCTGATTCTATTGCTACATTCATCACCAATTATCATGTCATTGTAAGGTATCAAAGTAGTAAAAGATGTAATATATATTACAGATAATATGTGACACTTACTTGAATTGGTTTGCTTAATAAATAATATTTATTATGTGACTCTTGATAACAGTTTACTGAATATACAAGCATGTTGACTACTTTCTTAGGATAAGATATACTGATCTACATAGTTTCTCTATTAAAGGTTAAGCGCGTAAAATAACTCAATGCTTTTACACTGTAACCAATCAATTTGGATATAGAACTTAGATTAAATATTGTCTAAAAGTTATCATGTAACTGTGGTTATTGACCTATTTTATAGTTATAAATGAAATCAGAAGTTGAATAAACTTTAAACGAGACTTTGTCAGTATCTTTTATATTTCTAATGAATGATTTTGTGCGTTCTAATATTGCAGAAAAATCATTACTGTAAATATTGCGAATTTTTGTTTTAAATTGTGCATGTTTTGTTTCGATTGTATGTATTTCAACAATTTGTGTTTTTGTGGAATTTTTTATATAAATCGTCGAAAATCACTAAACGAAAAAATAATTATATTCATTTCCATCAGAATTTGCCTGACCTATACTATTAGCACATATGACTGTGCACGCATAGATTTGAGTCTGATTGTTTTGATTTGATACAATTAATACTTAATAAGAGTGGGTGTCAGTGAATATAATACTCACTTGCATATCACTCATATACACCTCATCCTTAGTGAAATATGTACAACTGAGAAATGATTCGAATTTGAATAGTGGTACCGGTTGATCAAATTTTGAACTTTTCATCAATCCAACAAAGACTTCTAACGAAAAATCTACACATCTGACTAAAATCTCAGTGAAAAAAAAAGAAGTTTCTGATGATCACAATGCTAATTTCTCATATTTTGATTCCATTACTTTTTCTGAATGATTGGTTTTTAACTTTGAGTGTTGCAACGATAACTGCGTGTTTTATCCTTAGTTCTTAAAAACAACTCATTTCATTGCTGAGCTCACGAGTTCCTTTTTAAATGAAAGATACCGATTATCAATGAAAACTTAGAATCTGTAGCGATCAACCGTATCGCATTTTAATCACGTGAGAGTTGGATCAATTGCTACCATCACCTTGATACGTAAAAAACTCAGATTAAGTTTGATTGGTTTATTATCGAGTAGACTTTTCACGGATAAACAAGGTATCCAGACTATCTTAGAGTCAATTTTTGTCGTTCGTGTTTAAAACAAAAAAAATTTCATGAAGTAAAAGATATCATATTAGATTGTTCATATACTTTTTGTTAGTCAAGTATAATAAGTGTGTGAAATGAGTACATCAGCTAAAATTTCAAGTTGATCATCGTTGAATTTTGCTCGATGTTCATGCCAGGAATCATAATGTGTTCGACGAAATTCAGACAAACATTCTTTGATCGATTTCTAGAGTAAAAGAAAATTAATTCATTATCAAGATAGTAAATAGAGTATGGCTCACTTGAATCAAAGGAGGATCATGCGAATGTTCACAGAGAATCATTAATGCATTTGGTACATAACTTGGAACATCATAGGGACTCGCAAGAACAATAGCACAAAGACCCAAAATACCTATAAAGACTTGTAAAATGTTGCTATGAACATAACGAAAATAGTAAAAAATAGCAAAAGATATAAATATTAGTATACTATTTCTAAAGAAAAGATTTAGACTATGACCTAGAAATTTATCATATTAAGATCGACTTCGTCGAACAATGTCCGAAATGAAAATTGAAAAAAATGAACAATTTTACATTTTATACTTGATTGAATTCTATAGTTATATGATGCTCAAAACTACCGACTTGCTTATGTTCACCAAGCGAAAAGTGTAATTAATTGTGGCCCAGTCCGTTACTTGTGAATTCCATCGATAAATACTTACCACTATGTCTTTTGACAATATCTTTCGTCGACATAACTTTCTTGCCGTTCATTATTGTAAAATAATCAATTTTGCTCATTGAAATAAAATATTTCTTTTGATAATGAAATCAACTACAATGTGTTTCAACAAAGAAAAATACATAAATAAATCAATACATCCTACTAAATCGTCTTCAGTGACTGGAATGTAACCACATTGATAGAAACCTGATAAAGTTGTCGATGCAATCAATCGTACTTCTAATTGCTCATCGAACAAACATTTGCATACAAGTTCATGCAATCGTTTTGCATGACAACGAGCATTGAATAAATTACAAAATACAAGATTTTGAACGAATTCAATAGTTGCTAATCGTGCATGCCATTTTACAGTCGTACAAACCTTTATATAAAAAATAAACGAAATTAGTTTAGGGAAAAAGAAAGAATCTATCTCGACAAGACATACGTATTCCAATTGTTGAATGAGTATTTCCAAAAGATGTGCATTTAAATAGGCCATGCCGATAGACGTGCGAGCAATTTCTAGACGTTTCTTAAAACCAGCATCATTAGTAACAATACTTTGCATTTCGCAGAGCTGAGTAAAAGAAATAGATGTGTGTGTGTGTGTGTGACAGTTCAAATTTAGAAGAATATCAATGTTTGAATCAACATACATAAGGAAACAGACGAATGATACCTTCCGTAATTGGTTGATGAGATCGAACGAATAAATTTGAATGCAGATCAATCACTAGATTATATTTCAAAGCAAATAGTTTACATTCGAATAAAATAGTTTTACCTGTTTCAATTAAATTCAATGCTTGACGAGCTTCGACATCGAGTTCAACATTCGAACCAGAAAGATTTACTGAAGAAAGTTTATTTTCAATGATCGATAAAAATTGTTGGTATCTTACCTAATGGTTTACTTTCATAGATATCAATAGCTTGACGTAATCGTTCACGCAACATATCAATAAATTGATCAGTATTCGGATGACGTGTCGATTTTCCATTAAATAATTTCAGATCGATTCCGAATGATATCGCTAATATACTAACAATAAATATGATTCAATTCGATTTCAAATGTAAATAAATTTGAAAAATTTCTTACACAACAATACGTTCTCGTATCCATTTCGATGAATGATCAAGTAGTTCTTTGGCATGTTCATGAATAGAATACCAAATTGATGGAATACGCCATTGTAAAACTCGAAGACTTTGAACTAAATACCATCGAGATGCTTCATTGAATGTATAGGAAGTTGTTTGATGATTGATCAATGTATAAATGAAATGAATTGGTCGAGACATTCGACGAGGATCTGTATCGTTCTTTTAAAAATAGAAATAATCATTTATTCGAGATTTGATTTTTTTTTTGTTTTGTTTTTGGTCTCGAGTACCAAAGAAAAAAAAAAAACAACTCACCAAACAATATCGAAAACAGGCACCCCAATGTAAATAATTTTCTTGAGTAAGATTGTTACTAACTTCGATAAGAAATGGTGTAAGTTTTTGCCAAAGTTCATCTAACTAAATTGAATAGATTTTAAAAAATATATACAAATTAAATTCAGACAATGTTTTGCAATTAAATCAATGATTTTACTGACCATTTCTAATGTCCAATATTTCGAACCACGAATCATACCGGCTACAATTTCAGCTGCTGCTCGATGACTACCTTCATATTTCTCTTGTATAGATTCATGAATGAGTACATACAATTGTTCAATGAAATTATCAACAAATGCCAGACCGAAATTACGAAAGAGACTCTTAAAATAATCAATCGATTTTATACAAAAATATAAGATTCAATTTACCTTGTACATCAAAAATCGAATTCTATTGAATTCAATCTCACGTTCATCAAATATAATAACTTTAGTTAATTTTGTTAAGAAACTTTTGTCAAGAAAATGATCAAAGATGATTGATGCGTGTTTTGGCATTTGATCATGAATATAACGTTCGCGTTTATTTATTGGATATTTGATCATCTTTTGCCATTGATAATAACCATGAGACACTTTATCTAAGAAGCATGTTTCTTCCCATTCAGTTTGTAGTTTCGGTGGTTTATAATCATTATATGTTAGCCATAAATTATTATCACGATCGCCTGGTTGAAATCGATCATTGATGATACTAGTTGATGATTGATTATTGCAATTAAGAATTTCATCAAGAGACTTTTCAACATAAATTCGAGGTGATTTTTGTAAACGACAAAATGCTGCAATAGCTTTGACAGCATACTGAATAAATCGAATCGAAAAAATAAGTAGATTGATTTAGCTGAAAGAAAAAAAAAACTCTTCTCAACGAACCTTTCGTAATTCTATATTATCATGTATGAGAAAATTAAGACAGGTTTCAATACACAATGATGGTATTGACACTTGTTTTTGAAGAAGTAGACATAAGAATGACATGGCCATCTTTTTTTGTCCCCATATTCTGAAAAATTCTCAATCAAAACAAACAGTATGAATGAGATCAAATGAAAATACCACTTACAATGTTTCATCATTGAGTAGTGAACAAAGTGTATCGATCAGATGATTGTACGATTGAATATTCATTTCATGACGTTTTTCATGAAATTGTATTCCGATTTCTATTTCATTTGGTTCTAACGAACGCCATAGAGTAGTTGCTGCATGTCTGGATATCTGATTGGTATCATCGATGAGTGGTATTGTAACAAATTCTTTTTCAATTTTTTTCTTCATTTCTTGAATCAAACGTTGAAGACTGATTTTTTTTGTATGACTTCGATGAACAATTGATGGCCATAATTTTTTCATCATTGTCCATGAACGTTTTGTTGGCAAGAAGAAATTCTTATCACCGAAAAGAATATATAGACAACCCTAATATGATATGATGGAAAGAATAATAATATGAGAATAAAAATGCAGTAAAGAACTTTGATTTGATTGTCATTGATATCGTCTTGTGTATTAACTAGATCAGCAATGCGATCGACAATAATTTCGAATGAAGAAAAATAATGATTAAGAAAGAAGAAGAGTTGATCTTGAGCAAAACGACGTATCTATATGGATAGGAATGCAAAAAAAGATTGAATTTTTTTGAAAAGTATTCATTTACTTCACTATATCGATTAATAGATAAATCGAATAATTTCAATTCGACTTGTCTATCGATTTCGGTTAATATTTGAAAATTATTCAATTCAAATTCCTAATAATAATTGAAAATAATTATTCATTATTGTAATATCGATAATATTCATAATTATACTTCGATTTGTAATGCAATTTGATTGATTATTAAACAATGTGGATTATCACGTTCACCAATGATTTCATTACGAAATAATGTTCTCATCGATTGAACATCTTTGCGCATTTGAGAAACATCAGTAGAAAATATACCATAGTACTTAGACGAATGTACACAGATCTATAAATTAATGATGTTTATTGACATTCAATTGACACACGTGATACTCACAGTGAGAGCTTTTTTTATTGATACAACATCATCCGATTGATTTTCAATTAGCATATCTAAAGAGATTCGTAAAATAGCAATTAATTTGAAGCAAAATTTACCAAGTAATTTTCCTATGTCGAGAAGAAGACGCATTCGTAAATTCTCTCGGAATTCTAAGAAAAAAACAACCGTTTTCGAAAAAAAAAACGAATATTTCTCACAGAATAAAAATACTCGAATTCAATTGTTTGTAATAGATTGGATATAAACTTTGAGATTGTGAATTACAGGGAACCGCGGACAACACACTGCAATAGTCATAAATGTTGAAATTTATTTATTTGAATAATTTTCACTTGACATTCAACATTTACTTACAGATCTGATATTTCTTTACTTTCGATACGTGATACAATACGAAAACATCCAATGGCTATGCTGCTAATAATTGTGAGCGATCTTCGTCGTTCATATTTTGATATGTTCGAAAAGTTCTCTTTCAATAATGTCAATTCTGAATAGAGAAATGTATTGACAAAATCACAAGCAAAATCGATTTCATCAATATTAGGAATGTGATATTGAACTTGAATTTGATCAAAATCAACATTTTGTCCCCAAGTCTAAATAGTTATATCGTTAATTGAAACGTAAGAAAAAGATCAAAGAAAACTTACTCGAATAGGTAAGAAATCAACAAATGATTCCTCAAGATTTTCTCCAGTAAAACGATAATTCATTGGATAAACATTCAAAAGTGATTGAAGTAAATTTTTAATTGCTCTACCAATAGCTTCATAAGAATCCTTGTGAAGAATACGAATACATAGATGAAAGACAGATTTAATCATTTGTTGATAAATAAGTAGAGTATCACCACGTGCTTGAACTAGTTCAGCTAATAGAAATAAATACCAAGTTAGTTCTAGATCACCATCATGATCATTAAGTAAAGTTATTTCTGATTTATGTAAGATCATTTCAATTGATTCACATGTTTGTGGTAAGAGTGTCTCCAATATTTCTATTGGATAACATTTGACAATTGCTCGAACTAGTCCAGCAACAAGTTGTCTTACTTTCGGTAAAAAAATTGAACCAGCAATAAAGTTTGTTATTTTCTTCTTTATCATCTAAATGTCACATAAGCACAAGACATTATATTATGGCGTACAAAAAAAAAAAACTTTCAGAAATTGAGTGAATAGATTCTGACAGTGAATACATTTTAAAAAGGTCGATCGAATTTGAGACATACTCGAAAAATATTGCTACTACATTGCTGAAGAATATTGGTCATTATTGATGTTAATTTCACTTGTAAATTATCATGATCCGTATGTTTTTCATTTATATTTACAGCATCCGAGAAGTCTGTTGAGAGTATATTAATCATTTGAAATATTCGATCGAGAAATTTTGTTATAAAATCTTCGAATTTCGCTGTGGATAGACAAACTTCTTTTTCAATCTATTTGAAATATATGTATGTTATTTATTTTCGTACGAAATTAATATTTCTATCTCACCTCATTAAGATCATGTCGAACGTCTATTGCCGATGAACAATCGACACATGAGATTAACATAAAAATGGCATCGAAAAAGTCTAATGTTACTGATGTCTTTTCGAAATCATTCAAATCGATACCAGGTAATACTGACATGAGTAATGGTATAATATAAGTTTGTCCTTGAGAATAGGACGATGTTTGTCGTACTAATTGACGAGTCATGCGTTTTAAACAATGCATGAGTGATGTAAAACGATGTGCTTCTATTAGATTATTGATGGATAAGAGAAGTCTAACGAAATAGATCAAAATTTAGTCAATGAAGTCGAAACTATTCGAATATCAGACTTATCAACAATTGGTGATACAATAGATTCTGGTCGAAGCATAGCCAAATATTGACAAGTTTCAGCAGCTTCTTTTGTATAATCCTTGTTAAATATGGATATGAATGCATATTCTTTGATACAATCCACAAAATCTGTAATGTCCTGTTCGGTAAGTCGATAAGATTCATGCACTTCAAAGAACCAAACAGGACAAGTTTTGCGTTCTCTAGAAAATAGTCAATCATTGAAATTTATATTATTCAAATAATATTCATATTTACAGATGAATTCGATCGATAAAATGTCGAGTCATATTCAATACGAAGTCGACTAGTCGTTTTTGAAATTTTCCTGTATTCGATGGATAATAAAAACTTTTTATAGCTATGAATAAATCTTGTAAATATTTAAGACAAGAATTTCCATTGCCTATCATTCCAATGATCCATCGGGAAATATATGGTACAGAATAAATATGTTTGCTTGTAGAAATTTGCAAGGTACCAATTGGAAGTGAAAAACCTCGCAGAAAACGCGTAAAAATCTAGTAGACCAGAGTTCCAATGATGAAAAAGAAGAAAAAAAAACGAATGATTTCCACACCTGTGGTAGCCATGGTTCCCAATCGATGTAGCCGATATTGTACCAGGCAAGACGTGCAAAAAGTTCAAGTAGACGCTTAATTGAATTATTCAAGATCGTGAATAGAATATTGCATCAAACTTACCATTTCCCACGCTGTATCGTTATAGACACTTTCCCAAATACCGAAAAACTCAGATAGCCATAATCTATTGTGGAAAAACGATGCATGAAATATGAAGAAGAGTGAACAAGAATACACATACTTAAATCCTTGATTATGCAAAGATGGAGGCAGATTGATGGGTAGAAAACCTTCGAGTATTTTCATGGCATTATACATAGACCAACTATCGATAGGACACAATTGTGGGCGAATCTCATCAAGAATTTCTTGAGTAGCCATTTCCGAAAAGTATGGAGAACAGTAGCGTAAACACCGAAAAATCATAAGGTCGAAATCTCTTGAAAATCATCAGAATAATTGGAAAATCATTGAAATTATTCTATGAAAAGTTACAAACTTAGGTAAAATAACCAATGCATAGGTACTATCATGACCCTTGACGCTGAATTTAGCCCATCGATATAATATCTGCCAATCGATTGTCAGATCATTTCGGTTGATCAATCGAGCCTTTCTACAAAGTATCATAAATAGAATTTATTTTTAAAATTTACTAAATTTCTTTGTTTTTTTTAATATATAAATAAACAAATAATGACGTACTGCAATAGGCCGGTAAGCATTTCAAAACAGATTGATGCATCAATACAGCTGAGTTCAGTTATGGATAGAATAGATAAATAATATTGAATAAGTTTGATATGATCAATTTTAGTAAAAAATAATCCATAGAGTAAAACGAATCGTTTCAATTTAGACGACCAAAGTTGTAAACCCGGATAAAATTCTCCTACTTGAATGGTACGTGATAGATTTTCTCGAATTTCTTCGAATAATGCCGATGCTTGTTGTTTAATCATTTGATAACATGGTAAGTATTGATTGTAAATATTCGGTCTCTGTAGATTCTCATTTTGCATATCCGAACACTGCTCATCCATGATTGAGTATTTATTGATTTGATGTATCTAATAATAAAATCGACTAGAACGAACTGTGTTAATGACAAATCGACTAGTCTCATTCCAGTACGATCAATGATCAACAGTGGAAAGAAAAAAAAGTGATGACTCCGCCTACATACCCAAATTCACAACTCAGAGATGGAACCGGTACCGGTTACCGGTCGATCTGGTCCGGTATTGGTATGAGTTTCAGACCGGTTCTATCTCTGTCACAGCTACATTCTCTTCTTTTATTCATACTAATAAGTTTACTTAATTCAATAATATAAGAACAGAAAAGTCCATCAAAATGTGAGAGAATTATTAACTTAACATAAAAAAACAGAAAAAATTCATTTTACGCGCAAGTATCACACACAAAAATGTTCTGCCACGCTGTTTCGAAGAAAGAGTAAAACGTTTACGTGCAACAAACAATTCTCTGTCTACTGTCATGGTGCGAATTTTTTTCTACATACTTATATAACCTGTTCTTTTGTTGTCAGATATGTCCCTTTCTATGCTTTTCTTTGTTTTTATTTCTCTACTTCCTTTCTGCTTGATTCTTATCTTTTTCATGGGAAGATTCTCACTCTATAGAAACAAAGGTCGCATGATAACAAAATTTTATTTTACAAACATCATATCTACTTATATCATCAAAAAGCTGTAAATGCTTATCTTGCCTCTATAGAGAGCACTTCTGCGTGTAACAATAAATCGTGGAAATTTGAAAAAGTCTCTTAACTCGAACGAGAACTAATGTGCAGCACCGTGCAGCAATAGTACAGTGTTTGTTAGAACTCGATGAGAATTATGGAGAGATTCTTCATTAGATAAGGCCTATTTTAGATACATGTGCCATTGAAATCTTTGTGTCACAATGAAATAAAGTATAAATTACGATGCCATGACACAAGTCAGCTTTTCTAATAGTTGATAGAAAAGATTCTAATTACGGTTGATCTTGGATTATGTAGAAATCTAAGTTTAGTTCATCATGGAACTATTTTCATTTGACCTTGTATGAATTAGAGACTCTTTATACTATTTCTAATTAAAGATAGGAAAGTAAAGTCGATTCATTTCTTTTTTACCTTATTTTGATTATTCGTTGCTTTTCGACTTTTTTTCTCGACAACAAAGTCTTTTTAGTATGTTCTGACAGTCAACCAATTCATTCCTCTTGCATTATCAAAATTTAAAGCACATGTGTAAATATTTACTGTGAGTCATCCATGGCTTGCTTTTTTAACGAAAGAATTTATTGTTGACTGAATTACATTCACAGAAAGAGGGAGAAATCTAACATCGGTTGAAGGGAATTAAGAGTGAGCAACCAAATATATATTTTTGTTTACTTGCGTGGATGTAGACATAATTCTTCTCCTCATGCAATCTTCCACACAACCTTAAAGTTCTCATCACCAAACTAAAAAGGTTAAAATATAGGCTACTCTTGATGTGTTTGGAGGAAGATGTGCAAAATTTAGGATAATCGCAGATTGAGAATATGAATACATCAAGATATGAGAATTATTTAGATTCATTTTTCATACGATCAACCCGATATTTTACTAGTAGACTTACAGAGTCTTTCTGAGATTTATCATTGAAATATAGTTCTTTAACCATTAAATGCTAAACTTCTCTTCATATATCTCGAATATGATTGTGATATTGCTCGTGAATGATGAGCTATGCATCAATGATACGGTTATCTTTGTTTCGTACACATAAAATACAGTGGGATGGTTGATTTTGATAGTAAACGTTATAATGCGCCTTCTAAATAGGGGTACTATTCACAACGAAGATAGTATAATTAGAATAAGACGAGTCCATCGATTCTTTACCCTTGACGGAATAATCTTTGACTTATGTCAAATTGATTTTTGGTACTATTCATACCTATGGTCGGCTCAAACCATACATCGTATTTCCTTTGCATTCTAAGGACGATCGAAGTTATTTCTGACTACTGTTCTACGGGTTATTCAACACAAAATGTGCGACTAACGAATTATTATCTCATCGCTCAATACCGAATCTGTTAACTAATTTAGCATCCATATTTCCTATAGTGATACTAGCAACTTGTTGCCAATCAGTTTCATTATATATTTATGCTATTATCAAAGTCCATCTCTCGTGGTGCATGGGACTTCTAAATGAAATGTTACAGATTATGCACTATTCGCATTTTGAAAAATCTCACAAACAACGAACAAGCATTTTATCAATTAATATACATTGATTGACTTGATATGGCAATAGACCTTTTGCAGGACAAAAGACATCCAACAGTTAATGACTCTGAATCACATTTCCTTGTCATAGGCATCTCCAATAATGACAATAGACTGAGAGTGGGTGAGTGTGGGAGTGAATGTGAGTATAGATATGGATGCGTGGTTGTAGATATTCATTCCAGCAATACCCACGCCCACACCCCAAGATCATCTTGTAAACTTATCTAATTGTTTCCATTAATAGATGCATATGAGTATCAGCTTTAAGTGAAGACCAACTTGAGCTTTGTATATTTTGAAACGAATCTTCTTTCGAACCATTGATAATTTTATAACCCTAATAAAACTCAACATTTTACCATAGTCAGTCCAAATGACAGCTTCTATTTTCTGGAAATTCCAGTCAAGATAGACGCAGAATGTGATTCTAAGGTTTAAATGAAAGAGAAAGAGATGTCAAAAATAAAACAAAACATTGTTCCACGTGAAAGGAAGTAAGTGGCAAATCAGATACAATTGATCTAAGAAAAACAATGACCCCTCGTTGGTACCATGGAGTAAGTTCTTGAAAAAGAATATTTTCGATCATGGGTATACTCATGATAAACTTCATCTAGTCTCATACGATAAGTTAGTGTCCTCTGCTAAGCTGGCATTGCACAATATGCTAATTGTATGTGTGATAGCTATTGGAGTTATGAACTGCCTTTGCTTTCTGCTGTTGATGGTACGAATTATGGCTGTATATAACCTCGAGTCATGTAATTTCGTTTCAATATCAATTGACACACATTCCTGCAACTTCTTTTAACCGGCATGCTATTCGCATATGTTGATAGATGCATATAGAGAGCAGCAACAATTAGTCTTTAATTATTACACGACCTAATAGATTGCATTGATATATTATGCATATTACTATTAGACACAACAAACAATTTTTTCTTTCGTTCACAACTACATCAACGATGAAAGAAAGGAAGAAATGCATGACAGTTGTTTATTTTTTTCTTCATGTCATTAAAAAAACAGACAGAATAGTTGTCCATGCTCCATTAATTGCAGTTACAGTACAGAAAAAATACAAAACGTGCATGAAAAGAAAATGAAATGAGTCGGTCTTCGTCTCATGTGAGGTGTGGGTGTCGATTTAGATGAAGACAAGATTCACTCACATTCTTTTTAGAAATGTTCACACATCGAAAATTTTTCAGAGTTGACTATATACAAACAGCGATTCAATTTTCATGAAACGAAAGCTTTTCAGATATTCAGGAAAAATTATACTCTCTAATTTTTTTCCGACAAAAAAGTATGAATGAGTTTATTTCACAAACATTTTTTCAGACTGTTACCATTAAAAGCAGCTCTAAGAGCGATAGTTGCTAAAAATGAAACTTTTTAGAAAACAGGAAACGACAATTTCAAAAAATGGTACTTTTGAAGCGAAATCAAGTGATGCAGTTGTAAAGTTATTGCACAGCGAAATTTTTCAATATTTTCAGAGTTGTATCTTTGAAAACAGCCATATGGTCCTGAATTTTGACAGTGAAAAGCAACCAGAACCTTCACATCATCTCAGAAACTAGAAAGTGTGGTTATTCCATTATCCCCCATCATTTGACAGACTCTAGATAAAATTCATTCAACAATGCATAGAAAAGAAAAATGAGAAACATGCTTCAGTTCTTTCCGTTACCATTACCTTATGGAGATACATTTCTTATAGAGTTTCCTTTTCAGATAAGATGCTGTTTGATAAACAGAGTTCCTCAGCAAAACAATGCGCAAATGGTCAGATAAGAACATAAGTAATGATGAAACTCAAGTTACCTTAAGAGGAATGGATTTTTCAAGAAAACTATTAGAGAGATCATCCATAACTCATTATCATATGTTCTTTTGGAATGAAGTGAGAGCAAGATAATACGAAAATTTCTGCAGAAATCGTTTTGATTTGATTTCGATCAATTTTTGCGACACAAACAGTTCTTCTCTAGTCGATAAAATGAGTAATTGGCGTGAAGAAATCTTTCGATGAATAGTTCATTGCTAACTTCTCTCATATTAGAAACCGAACGCCTATTAGGTCCCTTTTTCTCTCTGACAAAAAAAATTTGACATCCATCTTGCATACGTTGGTATGTGAGAATCTCAGTGCAAAATCTTCGTGCCATAGCGAGACATCATGCAAAGGAAGAAAAAGATATATAGAACAAGACCATGGTGAAACAAGCAAGCACGTGCAATCACCAGTGTATATCCACAAAAACAACTATCTACCTTATGAAAATTTTATGCTCCAGTGGTGCGCATAATGAGACACAAATTGAAAAAAAAACAAGCAATCTAGATATCGATAAATACATAGCGAAATTAGTTACTAACACGCATAAAACAAATTTTACATATTTCAGTATCATTTAGCACGTGAGTATACTTAATTTCCAACTTATTTAAAATAGTTTCCATGAAATAATCAAGCAACTTTTAACAACATCGTACTGTTCAAAAACTTGATTTCCCTGTTTTATTATTGTACTGTAAATTTTAAACAAATTCTGTTTTCTTGAAAATCGAGTTAGCTAAAGCTCAAAATTTTTTCAAATTATTATTAATCGTCGAACGATTCTATAATTTCAAGAAAATGTCCAGTCTGATTTT